ACACCTCAGTCTTAATCTGTAATTGGAATATGTTTAATCGGATTGGCAAAAATCGTTGCATGTGAACACAGCCAATGGTCATCAGTCATGTTCCACTGTATATTCTAACTGTGGGACTTTGCTTAATTAATGAAGAAAATACATTTAATACATGTAAGAAATGTAATACTCCTTATTCACACCCCATGAAGGCCATTCTTCTGACTTACCTCAGTCAAATAGCCGTTCCACAGTATTTTCGTTTTGTCGATGGAGAGTTTGGCCCCTTTTTTGCCATGTATGCTGTAGTAGCCGACTTCCTTAAACACCACAGACCCGTCTTCAGGTGACCGATGCCAGTTTATGATGGTGTAGTTGGCAGAGAGCTCACTGGCTTCGTCAAAACGCACTCTCTCCCCGACACTGTTCTGGACCTTCAGGTGCCTCAGCTGCTTTAGGACCTACGGAATAAAAACGAGAGGAGGTGGTTCAGAAAAGATTTTTTCCCCTAGAATAATATTAATTTCACTGTTGAGATCCGGAAAATTCCACACGGATGAAAAGCTTCTTGATTCAGTCGCAGCTTTAGGTTGGGTTTGTACTGGCATTTCCCATTTTACTGGCTAAGATACTTTGACTCAACATTAATCAATGGATCATTTGTAGTATTTGCCTAATTACTCATGCATCTCATGCACAATGATTTCCATCCAAATCAATTTACACTGCAATTTGTGGTATCTTGGTATGGCAATTTATGGTATCAATGTATGGTATCAATTTATGGTAATCTTCTATTTCTTATTTTGAGATGATTGTGCACCTATTATAAAATTATCTTGCTTATTTCTAGACATTATTTACTTGTTTTAGCTCATTTTATCAAGTAAATTTATCTCACTATACTGGCAAATAATTTTCGCCATTATCTGGCAACATATTGAGATACGTTTCCTGAATAAAATTACTCAAAACAAGTAAAAACTGTCTAGAAATAAGTTAAATAATCTTAAATTAAGCTTACAGCAATCAACAGAAGATATAATAGTTTTATTGAGTAGATTTAAGATAATTTTACTTGACAAGACACTATTTTTTGCATTGTAGGCAGCAAGTGAACCACAAAGTACACTTTGCGTTTTTTGACCCAATTTTATCCCCAGTTTTCTTAAGGACATACAAAGCTCCACTGCCATGCTTGGAGGAGAATGATAACTGCTAATTATGTTATGTTTGCTAAGTAGAACAACATTTGTCTTTACTGCACTATTTTGATTGGAGCACCCAGGCCTGGTGCTGTGAGGGGTGGCATAAGTGAGCAATGCCACCCCAGTTGGAATATAATATTCAAGCTACATTTAGCTCCCTTGGATCCATAAGTTGCGTCATCAGTACCCAAGTTAACCTTTTTTTGTGTAAAGTAGACTAAGATGTGTTAACTATTTGTAATGTTCACCTAATTACTTTTCACATCTGAGTATATGTATGAGTTTGATTATACAGGCAGGGGTCCATATGAGGCGAGTCTAGTGCCAGGAAAAAATGGCTCTTATTAACATTTGTGTTGTGACTCCTGACCTAACCTGGCTTTAATGCAGAGGGAGCCGGTCGGATTTCTCACTCATCCAGTAGTGTTTTTGTTATGTGCCGCCACAGACTGTCCGGGCGCTGCACTTCCGCACTTCCATGTTCCGCCTTTTGCGTTCCGCCAACATTACGTTATAAATTACATATTTAGAAAATCGATTTTTGACATTTGTGAATCGATTCAGAATCGTCCATGTCCACATCGCGATGCATCTAAGAATCGATTTTTTCCCGCACCCCTACTACGTAGGTTAGCCTGTTCCCATAATATCTCCTATGCTGCCAGTTGTTTGATGGGTAAAGATTACCCTCAGTAGTTTTTTTTGCCTGGTCTCTACTTCATCCTGCAGCCAGGCCTGGGAGTACCTTTGCTGAATTGTTATTCAAATTCAAACTGACCGAAAACAGACTGACCTAACCTGCTCAACACAATGATGACTTTACCTGCCACGCCTCCACTTTCCTGATATCAGCGCAGGAGCCGTTGGCGAAGAGCCCTCTCCCAGGCGTACAGGTGAGAATGTCCTGCAGTGCCTCAGCTATGGCGTAAACCGCCACGTAAACATTATAGGAGATCCTCAAGTGAGTGTAATCCAAGTAAGGTGTCTCTACACTTGAGATGTCCTCATCACCTGTGCACAACGGCCTGAAGCTGGTGCTGCCATTCTCGCTGTCCTCCTTCCGGGGACTGTCCTCCAGGTAACAGTTGAACGTCTCTTCCCAAAACTCCCTGACAAACTCATTATGGCTGCACTTCTTTGGATGGACTTGCTGCAGGAACTCCTTGAAGCCAGGTATCTGGCCTGCCCGCAGCGCAAAGCCAATCGTGCCCCCCATGACATCCAGGTATTCGGGCTTGGCCACCAGGCTGGAGATTGCCCAAGCTTCACTCGCCAACCAGACTCGGTCGGTGACGTTACGCCTAACCATCTCTTTAACCAGCGGCTCGACGTCAGGCCCGCTGGCGAACACGACGATGACCTTAGCGGTGGAGTTCTCGATGCGATCTGCAAGACGGACGATCTCAGCCTCATCAAGATACTGGGAGATGAGCACGTTCAAGTCTATGCAGATGTCCCTCTGAAGCATCTCGTTCTCAAACTTCTCGATGCCCGGCCGGCCGTACTCATCATCCGAAGCGATGGCAATGACCCAGTTCCACTGGAAGTGGTCAATGATGGCCGCCATGGCGATGGCCTGGTACTCGTCGGTTGGGATGGTCCTCATAAAGGATTTGTACTGGTTCTTGTTGCTCAGAAGGCGACTGGAAGAAGCATAGCTGATCTGATGGAACAAGATGGAGCGATGGATGACAGAAAGCAGAGTTTGAATTTAGCACAAGATTGAATGAAGGAAGAAGGAAAGGACAAAATAAGCAGGTCGGCTCATGTGCTGCATCAACAAAGTCAATTAATTCACACATTCTACTCTTCTCGTTTTATGAAATATATCCAAAAATACAGAAAAACAAGTCTCACCTGTGGGATGTAGAAGAGACCAACAAGGTCCGCCACAGCTGTCGAGACTGCAGATCCAGAGGCCCCAACTACAGCAATGGTTGATGGGATATTCCCAGTGCAGTTGCAAAACTCATCCAAGTTGAGGGAGTCGATCTTATTCTGTGCCACAAAGCTCAAAGAAGCTTCCAGAGCTTTGGAGACGGTATTACAGGTATCAAATATACGGTAGCCAAGGGTGATGTTGGGTAAAAGAGTAGAACTGTTGTTGATTTCCTCAATGGCGAAGATCATGGCCTGCAGCCAGCGGAAGCCACGGAAATTATACCTGAACAACACAGAGCGTTTGTCAATTTTAACCAAGTTTAAAACTATTTTGTTCTGATATATTTTTGTGACAGGCCTAATTAGCCATTTCATTTAGGGTCCATATCATGGAAAAACTCAATTTTCTTGCATTAGTTTGCTGTAATGCATAAATATTGCTCAGATTTATAACCGTACCGGGTCCATACACAGAAACTGGAGATGCACCGCTTTTTCCCTTTCCGATACCAATACCTCACCTTTAAGCACTGGCTGATACCGATACTAACTCTATCTAACCTAACTAACATATTAGTCCTAATATTTATACAATTACATTTTTAAATTTTATTTTGGTAAAATCTATGTTCTGTGTCATGAATAAAACACACTCGGCTAGATGGCATTTACTTGTTGGAGTATATTTATTAGATGTGTAAAAAAAACTTATTTGTTTATTAACTACATATTTGGTATTTACTATTATATAATTGGTAATGAGCCAAATTTAACAAATTAAGTAAATGTAAAATATCTTTATTGTGCAAAACAGTTAAAAACAGAACAGTATATAGATAAACCTGTGGTTTTTACAGATCATCACACAGCAGTATCATTCACGCCGCCAGTATCAGCGACTTGCTTTGTTTTTTCTGGCCTGGTTGAAGCGACGGGCTGCTGCTGAGTGATACAGCTGACTGATGGAGGTGCACCGCAAGCAGGCCCGGCTAGCAGGCTGCTATGCTTAAGTTCAAATCGAGGCTAAAGGCTATCCACATCACTGATACCACTAGTAGAAACTAAGTTGCGAAAACAGGCCATTCTGTAATTATTGCTTTGCCATACAAACCAGCACATGTAGATACATCAGCCCATTCAGCTTTCAGCAGTTTAGCCCCGCCCACTCACACTGAAGTTATAAGGAGTGTTTCATCATGGGCTGCTTTATAAATCAGGCACAGCTACTGTTTTTTTAATGCAACCCAACACGTTACAAACAGACCACCATTTGTTACTGAATGCAAATAAATTTCAAATACATTGTTGCTGTTGGGGCAAAACTATTTTTATGTTTACATAATTTGGAAATGCTAGCTGTCATTTACACTGTATGAAACGTACGATAAATGGGCAATAGAAATGACCACAATTACTTAGGAAAAAACGTTTAAACTTCATTAAACCTCAGGAATGGTTTTCCTTCGCCTGCAGAGTTACCAGGTTTTGTCCCGACGGTGACAACATACTAAGCAGTTAATAAAATCAGTCAACAGAGTCAAAACATCGCCTCTCTGACGTACCTCACACATTCAGTTGACTCAGGTCTCGCAGCTAGGTCCTCATCTTTGGAGGCCACTCCGAAGTGTATGGGGAAGAGCCCCCCCAGAAGAATGTCCCCGGTCTTCTGGGCCCTCTGGTGGGGACCGTAGGTAGAAATGCCAGAGTTAGAGCCCAGCAGCACCAGGTAGTGCAGGAAGAACTTCAGATAAAACCTCATGATCTCAGCTCTGAGTACAATTCGGACACCCTGTTCATTCAGAAGTGAGGATCGCTGCCTCGAGGCTCCACAGTTTCTCCATTTAATTCAGTTGTTTGAAGTTATAGAACATAATATTCACAATTCCCTCTCAGCAGAGGCACTAGATGCAAATACTCAGGGACGGTGCAGAAACAAAGTGGACGAGCTAGCCCTCGAACGCTTGAAAGTCAAATTCAATCTGTGTTAGAGGTTCCTGGAGTTGATGAACGGCAAAGCCAGGCGACTGACTGAGGGTCTATCTGTGGTGCCGTTGATCTTTTTGACCGCTCCTCTGGTGGTGAACTGACCAGTCTTGTCTTCATCTCTAACACACTTTCCGATTGATACAAAGCGCTCAGGACAGAGTGGTCCATCAAGGTACACACTGGAGAAGTCTGTAATCAGCAGTAAAGTCCTACAAAAAAAAACAAAAAGAATGAGAAGCACTTCATTTCCCCAAATCTCAAAGCTCAAGATTCCATTTCAGCACAAATTTACAAAGATGAAAAAGATTCACACTACTGCTCTTGCTTTAAGTGGGCTTCAGCGTCATGTAACTTTCAATAACCTAATAGTAAGATAATATTTTGACATATTAAGTCAATATTTTGAGAAAGTAAGTCAGTTTTATGGTGATACTATATCAATATTTGGACATTAGTCATTATTTTGACGTAGTAAGTCACATTTTTGAGAAAGTAACTCAGTTTTTTGGTCATACCATGTGAGTATTTTGACATTAGTCATTATTTTGACATAATATGTAAAATTATTGACTTAGTAAATATCTTTTAAAAAGTAAGGCAGTTTTTAGTAAAACTATGTCATTATTTTGATATTAGTCATTATTTTGGCATAGTAAGTCATTATTTTGAGAAAGTAAGGCAGTTTTTTTGGTGATACTATGTTAGTATTTTGACATTAGTCATTATTTTGACGTAGGAAGTCAATATTTTGAGAAAAGGAGCTGTTATTCAAAGATACTATTTCAGATCTTTAAACCTGGACCTTGAATTTGCTGGATTTTGTAATGGCTGGTAGTTAAACTGTGAACTGTTGATGTAATTGATTGGCCACCTTGTGTCATCTCTCATACCTAGTGTCATACCTATTGTCACAAGGTTGATTACTTGATGGTTAATTCTCTTCTTGTTACTTCTTTTCTTTTCTTGAGTGCCTTGCTATCACTTTGCTGCTGTAACACAGAGTTTCCCTATTGTGGGACTAACAAAGGATTATCTTATCTTAAAATTTGAACATAATGCTGCCAGAAACAGACAAGGATTTTTTTTCTCCTCTACCTGTCAGGAACAACTTCCAGACAAATCCAGATCCAGAGTCAATGAAAAAGGGGCCCCATGAGGAAGATTGTGGCCAACCCCCTCCCCCTTTACTAGGGACAGTGAGATCTGAACTGTTTCGCACCACTAACCTCCTCAGTGTGGGTGCTGGGTGTGACGCCGCGGTCAGCGTAACCTGCCTGCCCAGCAAAGGCGCAATAACGGCCCAGCATCGCGCTAATTAACTCTGGAAATATGCAGCAGCAGGACTCAGCTATTCAACAGAAATGCGCCGGTAAACTCCCTGGAAAAAAGATAGAGCACTGATTATACAAGGGAAAAGATTGCGTGGCCTGCAGATTCCTAACAGCTGTGAAAGGACGTAAAATCGCTTCGTGAACAACCAGCAAGATTGAAATGTAATAGACAACTTGAATTATTTACATATTTTTAACAGATGAGTACATTTTTACCATACTATGTTGCTAGAGTTTAACTTAAGTTAATATATTCAGTCAAAATATTCAGATCTCAAAAAGACCCAATCATTCAAAGCATTCAAACACAGCTGTACACACCGGTGCTGTACATGACGCGCACCAAAGATGTAGAAAAACATTCTACAGCATTAATTTAAAATGCATTTAAAATACCAAAACAGAGACTCAAAGACTTGCCAGACTGCATTCATTTGAAATTCATTCAGTCAAATGATAAACTAATCAACAAATGTGAAAGACCAGACAGAAAGTAGAAAGGATTCCTCCAAATAAGACTCACCCTTGATCTTTTTGGAGAACCCATCAATTCCAAGGGGAAAAAAAAACGAAACGTGAAGCATCAACATGAAAAACAGTGTCTTCTGATTCGGCCTTGTTTGTTTCTCTTTACTTCAGCTTGAGAAATTTCTATTGGCTTCGATTAATTCTGGGCAGTGAGAGTCAGTGCAGCGCTCTGTTCCTCTGGGCACAGTCAAACATTAACCAAAGCAGGCCAGGCCATTTCCTCTGGACACATAAAACAAGCCTGTGGTCACTCCTACTTCACCTCCCCGTGTGCACTTATGTACATTACCCCATACTGGAGACCAGGGTGCACCTACAACCTCCCATGAAAGCATGAACTCTAAGATTCGGCATAAATAAAACCAGAATTTCACATTTTTCAAAACTTCTGCATCTTCTGTAAACAAACAGCAGTGTAATGATTATTGTTCAGGGTAGAGAGTCAGATTTCTTTACAGTGGTGGAGGAACCAGGTGCCGCCATGACCACTCCTAAAAATGATGGTTCTTCAAGGGTTCTTTAGTAAACAAAATGGTTCTATATAGAATTATGAACACTCAAAAACCCCTTTGCATGATTAAAGGGTTCTTTGCATGGTGAAAGCGTTCTTCAGATTGATGGAGAATTGTGTTTTATATGGTTCTATATAAAACCTTTTCAAAAAGGGTTCTTCTATTGTTATAGGCTTGACATTGTAATGACAAAAGAACCCTTTTTGGTTCTTTTGTCTTATACAGCACATTCTCCATCAATCTGAAGAACCATTTCACAATGCCTAGCACCCCTTAATCATGAAGAGAGTTCTTCGAGTGTTCATGGTTCTATCTTCAGATTGCTGGAGCATTTGTTTTATATGGTTCTAAACTGAACCTTTTTGAAAAAGGATCTATATCACCAAAAAGGGTTCTTCTATTGTTTCAGGCTTGACATCTTAACAATAGAAGAACTCGTTTTGCTGCTGTATGAACCACCTACAGCACATTCTCCATCAATCTGAAGAATCATTGTGATGCAAAGAACCTTTTAACTATGCAAAGGGTTGAGTGTGTTCATTTTCTTTACTAAAGAACCCTTGAAGAACCATGTTTAGGAGTGCACAACACAAATATAGCCATTTTATTTACTGCCCAAAACCACCGGTTAACCTACACGAGACTGAGTTCATATGTAAGATTGATGGGAAAATAGTGGAAAAAACAGAAAAGTTTTTCACTTTGCCTCCCAACTTCATGTACCTCCCCCCTACCATGAATATCTTTCATAAGACAATTCAGGACAAAATCTTCTCAAAACAATCATGAAATAACATTCACTATAATTTCCTGTAATAACTGTCTGTGAGGGAGCTTTTAGAAGTGGACGTCTGGTTCCCATCACCACCACTTTGAACAGTTCTGACTCAGACTTTTGGAAAATGATTTGCTTCAAAGTTTTTTTAAATACTGCACTTGTGTTTAAGGACTTAAAGAAAGCTCTCAAGTGAACTGACCATGTTTAAAAGAACCTCACCATTCTTAAGATTCCTCACTGTTGTTTGTAAGGTCACCACACTGTTACGAAAGATAATGATGAGTTCAGAACGAGAGCGAAGGTTCAGCAATTTTATTTTGAGGGCATGAAAAGAAAAAGAAAAGTCTTACATAGCACTCATCGACACAAACACAGACATCATAACTGAAATTCAATAACCTCAATGACCACAAGGTCTCGGAGATCAAGTGCATGCTTGTCTGCATCGCTTTCCACCAAACCTTTGGCAATCATTTCCACAAGTGCTTCAAAGAATTCCAAATTTCCTTCTGAAGGTTCTCCCAGCATTCACTGGGAACAAGGAGACAAAGACAAACGCCACGACCCATAAACCACCTTCCTGTTCAAACAACAAACTTGTTCTTGGTGATGGAGTTGCTCTTGGTGGCCGTGTCCGCATGAGCCTGATAGCCAATCACAAGTTTTGCTGGGAGGCCGAGAGTCTCTTTATACTTCCGACTGAAAAAGACCAAATGAAAGAAAGATGAGGGGAGAATGAGTGAAGTTTTAATTTGAAAAACACTTCAGATACACCACGTTTTTACATTAGACATTCAGTTTATTCATAGAGCATCTTTTAGACACCTATCATTCATAGGGCTTTGCTTTAAAAAGTCACTTAGAGTGAATAGAAATTAAAAACGACTAACATTAAAACAATAGATTAAGAGAAAGATCATTAAATTTAAATTAAAATTGAATTAGGATAATAAAGTTTAACTTTTTTTTTTAGAAAAAGCACTACACATCCATCTTTCAAGACCTGACTGCTTTCAGGCCAATCCTTCGCTAAAGATTATACAGGATGATTCAAAAAGATTCATCAAAAATTTCAATTTTTTTATTTGTAAATCATTACAGAACAATGCATTAAACTGTAAATGGTTTAACTGAACATAAAGCTTATGTAATTTTACAAGTGCTCAATATGAACCTCCTCCCGCTGTACAGACAACATCAACTCCATAGTCAAATTCATCCCATACTGGATTGAGCATGTCGGGTGTCACTGCACTCACAGCTCTTTCAGTGCGATTTCAGAGATCATCCAGTGTTGTGGAACCAACGACGAGTGCTCTGAGCTGTTGGAGTTCACTGCCCACGAAAATCACGTTGCGCAGTTATGACGGATTCACTCTTATTGAAGTGAAGAACGCAAAACACTTTCTGCTCAGGGGTCTCATCTCCTCTCAGACTGAATGGAGCCAGTCAGAAATTCTATAACCGCCTCTTTCAATTGGTATGTGATTTGTTCCTAGGCGCCTCATGGTTGTAAAACAACTATGATGCTTTAAAATCAGATGAATCTTTTTGAATCACCCTGTATTAGTAATTGAATAATCTACTCATTATTCTGATGCTTAATCATAAAACAAAGCCAACCTAAGTGAACAATAAGTCACACTTAGATTTTAGAAGGAAGCCTTTAAAAAAGACGTCATAAAACAGAGTTTGCAGGGATGTGAGACCGCTGTAACTGTCCAATTATACACTTTCCAGTCAAAACAGCCATTTCACCCATGTGCATGCATTTTGGTTCTGCCCCTCTCTGTATTCATATTGGACAGAAATATTCAGATCATTAACAGATACTATAGGAAAACCCACTGAGCCCAACGCCATGACTGCCTTGTTTGGTGCGATCCCCCCATAAGCGTTCCTTTCGTCTTCGGAAGCTGATTTTGTATCTTTTGTCACTCTCCTTGCAAAGTGATTAACACTGATTAAATGGAAATCTCCTAAACCTCCATCTCAGATATTGCGGATTAAAGACGTCCACTGTGTTGTGAAACTGGAGAATATTAGATGCATAATAAAAATTCCTTTACAGATTTCAGAAAGAGACCCTTTTTTGAATATGTTTACAAGAAGTTGTCCTCCTTAGAACTAACTGGGCTACATTTACAGACAGAGTTGTAATGTCTAAAAGGTACTTTAGACTGAATGATTGTTGAAAATCAATTTTATTTAAATTAAGTATTTGTTATTCTTTTTCATTAGGGTTTTTTTTAAAACAGTCTGTGTTTGATATTTTCTATTTTTTTTTAAATCACAATTTATGGTAGTAAGTTTTCAGTCTGTATATTCATTATTGCATTACAGGATAATTTAAAAAGATGCATCTGATTTCAAAGCGCCATATTGTTTATAACCGTGAGGTGCCTAGGAACCAATCACATGCCAATTGAAAGAGGGGGTCATAGAGTTTCTGACTGTCACCAGAAGATGGCTGCCCTCAGTCTGCGGGGAGATGCGACCCCTGAGCAGAAAGCGTTCTGCGTTCTCCACTTCAATAAGAGTGAATCTGTCATAACTGTGCAACATGATTTTCAGCGGCAGTGAACCTCAAACAGCTCAGAGCGTTCAGCGTTGGTTCCACAACACTGGATGATCTCCGAAATCGCACTGAAAGAGCCGTGAGAACAGTGACACCCGACACGCTCAATCCAGTATGGGATGAATTTGACTATGGCTTTGATGTTGTCTGTACAGCTGGAGGAGGTTCATACTGAGCACTTAAAATTACATAAGCTTTATGCTCACTTAAACCATTTACAATTTACTGCATTGTTCTGTAATCATTTACAGGTGAAATAAAGCATTTTGAAATCAAATTGAATCACCCTGCATTATCAGAAAAACCTACTGCTAATAACAAAAAGTTATTACATTTTCAGGAGATCTTCCTGAGGAGAATTTGTACAAGAGATAAAATATTCCACTTGCACACAGAAGGAGAAAGTCAAAGAAAAGTAAGTGGAGTTTCAAAAACTGGCAAAAGCTACAGAGAAAATAGGACTCCTAACAACCACCTGAAGACCTGGGGCACGTTCAGTCTCAAAACATTGTACATACGGTGTGTGACTGGCTTTACAGTAGGCTTCTCTGATTTGATGGGCGTGTCAGGTGTTACCCAATCAGCAGTGATGTGTATATAAATCCCATCATATTAAAAAGGCAGTGCAACCTTTCCATAATGCATATAACCCTTTAAATCATGCACTCTTAAATATGGTTCTTCAAGGGTAAAGAAAATGGTTTTATATAGAACCATGAGCAAAAAAGAACCCTTTGCAAGATTAAAGGGTTCTTTGCATTGTGACAGCGTTCTTAAGATTGATGGACAACATGCTATAAATGGTTCTATACAGCACCCAAAAGGGTTTTTCTATTGTTATGATGTCAAACTTTTGGTGCCATAGTGAACTCTTTTCAGTAAGGCTCTATACAGACCCATCTATAGCACATCCATGCACATTTCTGAAATGAATCTGAAAAGCCATTTTACAATGCACAGAACCCTTTAATCATGCAAAGGGTTCTTTAAGTGTTCATGGTTCTATATAGAACCATTATCTTTACCCTTGGAGAACCATCTTTAAGAGTGTAGAGTTCAGTCAAATAATCCTGACGGCTCCATTCGCATTAGAAGCCTATAAACGCATAATCACCCATCTTTTCTATGGAGCAGAAAAGCTCAGCCTGCCGTTAGTTCAGCCGCAGGTATTCGCTGTGTTTACTGCATTTCCTACACTGTTTCAATGCTGCCTGCTGCAGTCTGACACCATCACTCTCACTGCAGGATATCCAGGCAGCGCTGTGCTGCACCAAACATGCTACGCTATTTGGTGTGATGGGTAATTAGCTTCATTAGGTTGCTAGGCACAAATCCCTTTTCCATGATCATTACTGTTTACAGCAGACTGGACGGTCAACTGGCCACATCTGGACTCCAATCATCCAAATTCACAAGTCCAGTAGGGACACAAATCATAAACTTATGTTTCACTTCACTTTTGATTGAGTGCTTACAGTGAATTTGATTAAAATGACAAAAACCCACAAACAGCACCCCCCATATCATTTTTTTATACACACAGAAACTGCACACTAAAATGTGCAGAAAATATCATTTAACTCGTGTTGTTGGGGTCTGTAGGACCCATTTTCAATGTTAACCAAAAGAAAAAAAAATTGTGATATTATTTCAACCTCAGATTTCTTGGCCTCATTTTCTGTGAAGAACATAAAACAACATTTTCAGTGCCTTCACACTGAACACTCCCTACACCTTTATATTACAGGTGGTGTTGGAATGAACTCACGGGTAATAAAAGTGTGGAGGTGCTGTGTCCTTCACTCTGTTCTCCTCCTACATGGCCTGCTGTTAGTGTTAACCGTGTTCTCTGCAGATGGGTGTTCAAACTTCTGCACACAACTGTACAGCTGGTAATTTTTACATGACCATTATCCATCCTCCTTGCATCCCTTAGGTTTAAACCATGTTATTACTGCACCTTTAAGGCCTATTTATGTATATAAGCTCTATTCTGATTGGCTGCTCTGTACTGTTACTCAAAAAGCAGTCCACACTATAAAACTCCTTTTATCATCATGGTGAACCCTGTGGGGCTAAACTGCTGTAGGCTAAATAAGCAGTGCTTTATTTTTTAAGAGTGTACATGTAAACATGCTGTTTTTTTGTGACATCACAAAAAAAATTAATTAAAAGCAGGTGGTATTTGCAGCTTAGTTACTACATACTTACTGTACAGACTGGAAAACAAATACTACATTATGAAACTAAATGTTTACATGAGACCAATGGTTACGTGAAAAAGATACTCATTTTTCAATTAATTAACTTCACACACATATGCTTAAATCTGACGCCCACTCACCCAATGTAAGTTACAGCCTCAGCGTTCTCAGTGTTGGTGGTCCAGATGGCGATTTTGTCCCCCTTGGCACGGACGTTGATGACCGCTCCGCAGACGTCCCTACTGTAGGAGCCGAAGCCCTCGCCAATGAGACACAGCAGCTGCAGCACAGACAGCCAGCTTAACCCAAACATCCACTCACAGCATGCAGCTAACGTCTGAAATCTCTGGTATAACAGCGAGCATACAGGGTCACATCTGAACTTAAGGCAACAGTGCTTTAAGGGTATAATTGTGTGCAAGTTTGAGTTTGAGCACCCTGGTCAAATTGCGTTGCGTTGCGTTTGAGAGTAAATAAGAGAATTCGTCCTCTACAGAGAACACACTTCTGCACATTTTAAGGCACAATTACTGTTTATTTACTGAATTTAACATACTGGGGGGAGTGTGGCCACTGCAAAGGTTATGGCACATTTTATATTGTATTTTTTTCATAATATGTTAAGGAAATAAATATAAATTGTGCACTACAGTGTAAAGATAAATTCCATATTTAAGTGGAGCATGTTCACTTATTTCCACTTAAATCAACAAAGCATTTCACTCCAAACTTTTGCATATGACTGTCTCTAATCTTTAATACATCCAAACCTTTTTTATAAAAGATCACAATCAGGGACAATTTCCTGATCACAAACCTAAACAAATCCAAATTAAGCACTGAAACAGGCTCCACTATGGGCTGATTAAATACTGACATCAAAAAAAGGCTGCAATGTGCAAATAAGCCTCTAACCAATCATAATGTGTGCTCTGAGCATCCTGACCAATCACAGTTCTAGACGGGCGTCAGTGTGTATTCTGATGTTTATGTAATCCAACAAAATATTTTTGTAAGTTATAAAAGTGAATTATTTTGGTTAATATTGTTAAATAATCACTTTACTGACTCACCAATTTTAATATATCGCAGGGTTATGCAATGACAATAATAAAAATGTTACATATACTCTCATACTTTATCTATATCATGCAGCCTTAATCTGAACCCCAGTTTGCAGCATGTGTATATATTCTCACACCGTTTCCAGCCAGAAGCGGTCCAGCTCAGAGTGTCTCTGCTGTTTGGAGAGAGTGATTAGCCAGCGGCCACCGCACTTATTGCTCCTGTCCTCCCACATGGGCTCAATACCATCCTGCATGTTTAAATACAGAGAAACAGAGTTCGACCACTTCATTCATTTCATTTCTATTCAAAAGCGCCATTAAGAACAAGCTATTCATTTTGTGAGGAGATTAGATATAATATCCAATAAATTAGATATAGTATTCCTTGCATTAGGAAGGAGAAAGTTAAGGGAAAGTAAGTGGAAAAACAGGAGTTTACAGAGTCCTGCGGATGATATCCCATATAAACAAACATTGCATGGCCACGACTTAGTAAAGTGTGGGAATGATATATTTAAGCCTCGACTACAGCTTAATTACAGCTTAAATCTCGTTACCACGCCTTTCTAAGTCTAACTTATATCAAGCCTTATTAAGCTGTGGTCAAGGTTTAATTCTCCCTTTTCCACACCTTACTAAGTCATGGCCACGCATTATTTTTTATTTATATAGGGTTTCTGAAACAAGTTAAAAAAAACAAAAACAAAAGCAAATCAAAATCTACAGAGAAAATGGGGCTCCTAACAACCACCTGAAAGACATGTTAGACACCAAAACTATCCCCATCAGATAAAAAGCACTTAAAGCTTTCATCTTTGAGAGAGAGGAGAAAATCAAGCTGCTTCAGATCTGAAAACATCCACAGGTGTTTCTGTCCATCCTTCCACTGTGAGAAGACGACTCAGCGCTGTGGGTCTGAAAGGATGTGTAGCTGTCAAGAAGAACCTCACTGAGAAAAGGAGACACAAACAAAGAAGCTGAACAATGGACTGACCACCCCAGAGTCCAGACCTCAACACCACTGAATGGGTTTGATTACTTCAGAAAATGATCAACCAGCTTCTAAGACTGAACTTTGGAGGTGTGTCTGCAGATTTCTTAGAGAAACTGAAAGTGAGTCTCCTGAAAAGAATGGAAGCTGGAATAAAGGTGAAGAGTGACACACTATGTACTGAAAAAACTCAATATTGTATTTGTTTGTTGAGGCTTTTGTGTAATAATATTCTGTTAAATATTTTTGTTTTCTGCATTTTTTTCTCCTCAACGCTGAAACAAAATGAATAACTTAATGGCTGTTTTGGCTGGAAATGAGACCATCCTTCCTTTAGACATTTTAAAGTGTGTAAACACAGATAATCTAAACGACAGTGTCACAATGCAGCTTCACTACAGGTGGCACCACATCTGAACCGTCAATTCCAGCCAATTCACGCGGCCATAACTCCACCTGAAGGAACATACTGAGGTCTTTGTGCAAGCAAAAGCAACACAAGAGCAAAAAAATATAAATTAAATACAGCAACGACACCACATGCACACACTACAAGTGATCCTATGAAACCTAATTTCACTGTGAGTGATTCAGTAGCAACACTGATGTATTTAACAGCACGGTGAAGTGAAGTGGACTCGTCTTGCCGCTAACGCAGTCACTTAAGCGTGCTGGGTAACAGTGGAGGTATGAAAGAAAACAGGCTGAAAGAAGTCCTTCACCTTGAACACAGAATAGTCGCATCCTGATGAGAGTTTGCTGGCTGGCTGAATGTTGTTGTACAACCTGTAGGGGGGGAAAAAAAAAAAAGAAAAGGCTGAGGACTCTGCTGGAGCTAAGCAATATGGCAAAAATGTAATATCGTATACTTCTGCCTTCAGATACCATCAGAAACTATGAACGCAATGATTTGTATTAAACATTTTGCATAATAAATGCACTAAATCTAATTACACTGGAGAAAATTTATTACAATAAGCTCAGAAAAGCACACCGACATATTGCAGTGTGATTTATTGCTATGATATATGCTATATGATAAATACTGCCATATCGCCCAGCCCTACTCTGACTGGTTAAAATAGGGACTATAATTAAGGGATCTATGGGACAGCATCACAAAAAAAGGATGCCAGGTGTCCAGTTCAAGCAAACTTAAAAAAAAATATATATATATATAATTATTATTATTATTATTAATAATATAATATAAATTTTATATATATATATATATATATATATATATATATATATATATATATAAAATTTATATATAGAATATATATAAAAAAATATATAATTTATTTATTTTAATATAGTCAGTTTTATTTTTTAGTTTTTTTTAAAATAGTCAATTATTTTTATGTAAAACAATTAGTTTTTATTTTAAATTATTTAATAGTTCAAGTATTCAGTGCCTATTTTTTGCTGTTGTAGTTGGCATATTTTGAATAACCAATGGTCAGTTCAGGTCATGGCAAAATGTTAAGTAAAAATAAAAACAGCTGGCCCACGGATTTAAATTATTTTTTTATTTATTTATTTATAAATATGGCCCTTTTAGAGGTTGAGTTTGACACCCTGGCTTAGAGAATGTCAGCTGGTGCAACCACACATTTAGAAGAGAGAGGGGAAGAAGGGGAGCTTCTGACTGATCCAAAAACAGATGTTGAAACGATAAACTACTCAAAAGCCAGCTAGACCAATAAAACAACAAACAAAGCCTCTCACTGCTACCACGTCAGGCACACAGTGTTCATTCTAAATACTTTAAGAGTTACATTAAAGGAGAACATGGAGATGTAAACAGAGTCACTCAGGGTGGGTTGGTATGATATAGTTGATTGTAGAGACTAAGATTTCTTTACAGTGGTGGTGATGGGAACCAGGGGTCCAGTGACCGACCACATTTTTAGCAAATAAGTTTGTGTAATATTGATTGTAAAATAGTGGAACATCTGCAAACGTAAGCTTTCAACACCCTGCATGCACCCCTCCACTGTGAAATGATTAATAAAAATAAATTTAAAAACTTTGTTTTAGGCCAAAACTTTCTCAGACTTGTTGGTAAAAAAAGTCCCAGATATCAGGCAGTGAATTCATAACCATTTCATGTAACTGTGAGGGAGCTTTCAGAGGTGGACGTCCGGTTCCTATCAGCACCACCTTGAACAATTCTGACTCTGTACGTTTCTCTAGAACTGAGCTTTTTAGACTTTAATATCTTAACCGTTTAATTATGTAGAAAATTAAAATAAAAAACCTTAACTTTTAAAATAAAAAGACTTCACTGGAAGTCTGTGGACATTCGTCTGCTGTGCAGATAAACTTTCCTTTACAGCAGTGATGTAAACGCCAACCATCAAGTATCCAGCGATTCAGTTCAGTTCTATTCATCTAAGAACATGGTGGTTTCCAAACTAATGATCAGCTCAAACCAGGAAAAAAAAAAAACTGAAGAACTGATTCTCCTGAAAAGCTGATTAACTTCAAGACAGCAGTAGTTCTGACTTCTCCAACTTCTCACTCTGTCCTCTGTGGAGTCCAGCAGAACATCAGAGTGACTGATCATCCATGAAGACTTCAGCAACCACTGAGGCACACTTCCTCAATCAATGACACCGCAGACTTACTGCAATATGGGGCAGCACACAGCATTCAGTCACCGACTCTCTTAGAAGAGGTCATGGTTTAAAAGGGGAATTCCATGGATTTTTCTATGTGAACAGCCATTCCGAGTGGTTTGGTGTGAAACGCTCTGTTGTAGAGAAACTTACTGAGTCAGAATTGTTCACAGTGGTGGTGATAGGAACCAGACGTCCACCTTTAAAAGCTCCCTCACAGAAAGTTACTACATGAAATGGTTATAAATTCAGTGCCTGATGTCTAAGACACTGTTTTATGACAGTTTAGAGAAGATTTTGGACTACAACATTTTTAAATTCACTCATGGAGTGATACATGCAGGGTGTTGTGAGGCAAAATAGTCCCCAAAGAAAACTTATTTTAGATTTATCACTATTTCACCATCAACATGCCATATAAAACTCAGAAGACATGTGTAGGTTCACTGGCAGTTTGATAGTAAATAAAATGGCTACATGTGTGTTGTCATCGCAACCCCTGAATTTCCCTTTAATGTGTCTGTTTCGACTGATAGACACATCTGGTGCTCAGGAAGACCCCACATTTGCTAAAAACATGACGTCAGGCAATGGATGTCATCTTTCAGTGGAAATAAGCCTGGGGTGGCTATTGTGTTTTTATCCAATGGTTTGACCAAGTTAAACACATGTTAGGACTTTATTTTACAGTCGTTTTTACGGCACTGTTAAGACTCTGCGACTCCAGATGTTTCTACTTACGCCCAGAAGTCTTCAGCAGTGTCAAACTTGGTGATGAGTCGAAGATTATCTTGCCACATTTTGCTCTTATCATTCTTGTAGAACCACAGGGCCCACCTAAACACAAAAACAAGTAATACATTTAATATAGCATGACCTGAACCAGCCTGGACCGCCATCCGCTCCAAACACACATTCAGCAGTCGTCTAAGTTATAACTTTGATCCGCGGTGCAGCTTTATGAGGTAAATAAGGCGAGGCAGGTAAAGGCACTCATGCTGTATCTGCTGCGGCTACACCTGCACCAAAACGCTGCAGCAGAACTACACGAATCACTGTGTTAAAAAGCCAGTCGCACTTTGATTCGCATTTAAACTCGTTTATTGTTTAAGAACTGAAAATAACCATTTGGTCTATTAATAGGAAGTGCTGGAAATGTGCCACAGCGATGAGCTTTAGGTATTTAAAAAAAAATAAAATGTTAAAAAAATGAGCTAAAAAGCAAGAAAGGAGGAAGGATAGATAGACAGACGGATGGATAAATAGACGGATGGACAGAAAGATGGAAAAAGATGTATTCTCAGATAAATAGATGGACAGTGACATAATAGACAGATAGATAGAGAGGCAGAAAAACAGATGGAGAGGAGGACAGATGGAAAGAGATAGATAAATAGATGGATAGATAGATAGATAGATAGATAGATAGATAGATAGATAGATAGACAAATTGACAGACGGACAGATGGACAGACAGATGGAAGGATATATAGACAGACAGACACCCAGACATATAGACATACAGATGGATAGATAAATCAGAAAGATAGATAGACAGACAGATGGATAGTCAGATAGACAGATGGACAGACAAACAGATGGATAGATGGATGGATAGTCAGAAAGATAGAAAGAGACAGATGGACGGACATACAGTCAGTCAATCCAGCAGTAAAGATATCAGAAGTGGCTATAAATATTCAAGATTGCTGCAACTGTAAAGTTAAACTCTAAGAGCTTCACAAAAAAGAAAAATAAAACAGCCTAAATAAGAGTAACAAAAAAAAATAAAAAAATAAATAAAAATAGAAACTACAAGACCATGAAACAATGACAATACAACTACTCTTACTACAATTAACCATAGTAATAATAATAATAATAATAATAATAATAATAATAATATTAATAAGCTTGATGAATAACAATTATTTGTATCGATAAATTAACACCCAAACAAAAAAATCTGAACTAAACAAGCACAATACCAAACAAATAATGGTCTTCCAGTTTGTGCAGTTTCTCAACACACAAACCAGTCAGACCACAACATGAATATTAGATAGCACTGTAATTAAGGAGGCGCTTCTCTAAGCTCTGTCCAACAAACCGGTTCTGTAGGGGGTGTTTGGCCTGTGGCTCCTTCACTACAGGCACCATGGGCGCTTCCTTCTTCTCAAACTTCTTCCTCGGCCGTTTATCAATCTGTCCGAGAGAAGCAAATTTAGTTGGGTTTGTTTATCAGTCGAAGCTGAAATTAGCGCCTTACTGGAACTTTCCGTTCCACCTTAAACGGTGCGGCAGTAACGTAACTACCGCAGCATTTAAGGTGGAACGGACAATTTGAACAAGAAAACAAGTTCAGTCTCGAACAGAGCAGGAACAGAAGTGAAACTGGGTTTGCTGAAGCGGGACTCGCTACTGCTGAGGCTGAATGTGAGGACAGAAACTCGAGTTTCTCACCAGCTGAACAGCACAGGCCGCCATGTCGAACCTGGAGCACAGCAGCTGCTCGTTAATGGAGCTTCTAGAAAAATCCTCCCCCATTTCAATTTATCAGCTCACCAGCCCGCCGCGGTTCACAATCAGCTCCTCTCGTTTCACAGTTTCACCACTTATTCGTGCATTTTAGAGGCAAACACATTTTTCGAATGATTAAAATAAGTAATTATTAAACCAAGTAATTATTAGACGTAGTAATTAGCTGTTAGTAGGACGTTAGAGATGTAAATTCAATCCGTTCATATTAAACACATTATAAATTATTATAATTATTATAATTATATAAATTATTATAGTGACATAAAACGTTACCCTGAAATCTTTTATTTACAAATTGTTTATTTTAAAAAAAAATTGTCTGCTTTTACCTACAAAATTACTCCCCACTTCCAATTAGGAGCTTAGTAACTTCTTTAACCTGCCACAGGGTGGCGCTGTTTCACGCTGCTCAACTCATTAGTCATTTTTCAGCTTCATTCTCAGCAATGACAAGATATTTTTCTTTCTTTCTTTCTTTCTTTCTTTCTTTCTTTCTTTCTTTCTGATTTCAGTACCCATTTGAGCTTTGATGCATACAATTGTTTTAAATAAGGCCTATTATGTTAAAATCAGTACTGCCATGTGACCACTGAGTTTAATATGATAAAAACTCACATTTTAGCCACATGGTTTAATCAATTTGAAAAAAAAAAAAGAAAGATCAGATTTGTGTGTATTTTAAAAAGTTTAACATTTCAGATGTGGAAATTAACGGACAGGGTATTTACAGCAATACAGATCTGACGTGATGTGACTGCAGGAAGTACAGATATCTAAGCAGACTATTTAGTGCTACAGCACATTACAAAAAGAGGCAATATGTGACGGCTGGCTTAAAGTTAAAGAAAGGTGTGAAATGGTGGTGGTGCTTGTGAGGCAAGCTAGACATGCAAAAATGATCTATAAGTAGATAAAAAGAGCCGTAAGGAAGTCTGCGTCTGGCTTGTTGCACTGTAAAACAAGAATGTTTCAGCTTTACAGAGTTTTTGCCTCACCCCAAGCGTAGCTGACGAAGAAAATTTGCTTCTTTATTTTTACACTGTAGCTATGAGGCCAATATTATAGAGCTGCTCAAAACATTGTGTATGCCTTAGACTTCCATTACTTCTCCATTACTGATCCATTACCACATCAGCCTTGTAGCTCGAGTGCAGAATGAAAGAAGCAAACAGAACTAAAATCGAGTATATTTACATGTACACGTTTTGGCCAATGGTATACATTTGGCTTCATTGTTTAATTCTCATTTTTTAATGAACTATTCCTTTAAAGACGCTTGTGATGTTCTTCACTACAGACTGTTATAATCTGACGTCTTGATATCTTTCAGAGGACCACAATGGAAATAAGTCCATGGGCTTTGGCTGGCTCTGTATGAATGCAGTCTTATATGTATTTTATATAATTGTCAAATAAATCTAGCTACCTATTGGTGAGGGTCATTTTGAAATTGGGCTTTTTTGACGATGAAAAAAAGAGTAGCAACTTGTCTAAAGTCTTTGGGAAATGGCACTAGGACCATGCAAAAGAAAAACATGTCCACTCAGTCACCCATCACCATGAAACTGGCCAGACTGGTAGGTCAGTATATCAGACAGTGTAAATGCATTTCCTCAGCAGAGACTGTATCACTTTAATGCTGGCTAAAATTAGTTAAATCCACAGCACCACTGTGGCCCACCAGCACAATCACTCTACCAATTCAAATCACTCATCTGCTGCTGCACAGTTTGTGTTGGTCATCCTCTAGTCCTTCATCAGTGGCCACAGGACGCTGCCCACTGGACACTGTTGGCTGGATATTTTTGGTTGGTGGACTATTCAGTCCAGCAGTGACACTGAGGTGTTTAAAACTCCAGCAGCACTGCTGTGTCTGATCCACTTGTACCAGCACAACACACACTAACACACCACCACAACTTCAGTGTTGCTGCAGTGCTGAGAATGATCCACCACCCAAATAGTACCTGCTCTGTGAGGGTCCATGGGGGTCCTGACCACCAGATCATGAATACAAACACTACTCCAGCTATACACCGATCAGGCATAACATTATGACCACCTCCTTGTTTCTACGCTCATTGTCCATTTTATCAGCTCCACTTTGCACTTTGTAGTTCTACAGTTACAGAATGTAGTCCATCTGTTTCTCTGCATACTTTGTTAGCCTCCTTTTACCCTGTTCTTCAGTGGTCAGGACCCCCATGGACCCTCACAGAGCAGGTACTATTTGGGTGGTGGATCATTCTCAGCACTGCAGTAACACTGATATGGTGGTGGTGTGTTAGTGTGTGTTGTGCTGGTCTGAGTGGATCAGACACAGCAGTGCTGCCGGAGCTTTAAACACCTCAGTGTCACTGCTGGACTGAGAATAGTCCACCAACCAAAAATATCCAGCCAACAGCGTCCTGTGGGCAGCGTCCTGTGACCACTGATGAAGGACTAGAGGATGACCAACACAAACTGTGCAGCAGCAGATGAGTTTACATCTACAAGGTGGACTGACAAGGTAGGAATGTCTAATAGAGTGGACAGTGAGTGGACACAGTGTTTAAAAACTCCAGCAGCACTGCTGTGTCTGATCCACTTGTACCAGCACAACACACACTAACACACCACCACAACTTCAGTGTTACTGCAGTGCTGAGAATGAAGTGCTAATCAAGTCTAGAGACACAGTTTGAGGCAAGTGTGTGATCATTTCCGCATGCAGTTAGCACAGTGCTAATTGGTGCAGTATTAACTTTCTTTACTTCCAAGCTATATTAGCCTTGTACCTCCAGTACAAGACTAAGCGGACACAAAACATGCCTTGGCCGATCGGCTACATCTGAAGTAAGGGGGAAATTTTGTATTTGTTTTATAGTTTAAACCCAGTGGAGATTTAAAACCATTTAAAACCCTTTTAAGCCTGGCCTTCAAACTAATCTGTGTCAAGCTAACTACTCCTGTATCTGCTGATTACAGTTTGAAGTCCTTGTTTGGAGACCCCTGTTCTACTCCCTCATATTTACTTCATGCTATATCATTTAACCCTGCCCTTTACCTCCATATACCATATCAGCACTAACATCCATGACCCAAGATGCTAATCTCCCCCAGGCTAACTCTATGACTCTGTGGATGTTATATTAGAGCTCTATTCCCTTCAAGTTTCTAGCACAAAGTGCATGAACGTCATGAGGTCAGGCTGTTTTAGCTGCCTATGCTTAGTCATTTACAGCGATGTAACAGCTGCATCATATGTGAACTATTTGCAGTATGATTCACTCTGAAAATATGCCGTATTTATGGACTTCTATCAGTCCTGTTTTCTGCAAATGATCACCCTAGTGTGATATGAATGCTGATAGGACAGTGAACAGTGTCTGTTATGTTCATGACCGTGTTGACATATTTTATCATTCATTAAATAATGATAATCCTGGAATTTAAAGTGTCCAAAAGTATTTTTTATGGCTCCTGACCTTCACATCTATATGAGATTGTCGGACATCCCAGTCCAAAACCATTGGCATTAATGTGGAGTTGCCTCCCTTTGTGGCTACGACAGCCTCCACTCTTCTGGGAAGCTTTCCACAATATTTTGGAATATATATGTGGGAATTTGTGCCCATTGAGTCAAAAGAACATTTGTAAGGTCAGGCACTGATGTTGGATGAGAAGGCCTGGCTCACAATCTACATTGCAGTTAATTCCAATGGTGTTCACTAAAGTTGAGGTCAGAGCTCTGTGCAGACCACTGGAGTTCCTTCCCACCAAACTCATCAAACCATGACTTTATGGAGCTTGCTTTGTGCACAGAGGTGCAGTCATGCTGAAACAGGAAAGGGCCTTCCCCAAATTTCTGACACAAAATTGAAAGCATCTAATTGTGTAAAATGTCTTTGTATACTACAGCATTAGCATCACCCTTCACTGGAACTAAGGGGTCCAAACCCTGAAAAACAGCCCCAGCTCATTATACCTCCTCCACCAAACTTTACTGTTGGTACGTTCTGGTAGATAATGTTCTCCTGGTATCTGCCAAATCCAGATTTGTCCTTCAGACTGCCAGATAGTGAAGAGTGATTTATCACTCCAGAGAACATGTTTCCATTAATTCAGAGTGATGGCATGTTCACACCACTCCAGCCAATGCTTGGCACTGCACATAATGATCTTAGGCTTGTGTGTAGCTGCTCAGCCATGGAAACCCATTTCATGAAGCTCCCAACACACAGTTTTTTTGCTGATGTTGCTTCCAGAGACAGTTTTGAACTCTTTATTTTATTTTAATTTTTTTTCTCCCCAATTTAGTCGTCTGCAATTCCACCTGCTAGTTAGGACTCCCCCAGTCACACGATACTGTCAAATGCTGCGACAGAGGATAGGTGATTTTTATGCATAAATCTGTGAGCTGTTTTTGCTCCTAGATGTTCCATTTACATTTACATTTTACATTTATGGCATTTGGCAGACGCTCTTATCCAGAGCGACTTACAATTTGATCATTTTACACAGGTAGGCCAAGGTAGTGTTAGGAGTCTTGCCCAAGGACTCTTATTGATATAGTGTAAGGTGCTTGCCAGGTGGGAGATTGAACCCCAGTCTACAGCATAGAAGGCAGAGGGGTTACCAACTACACTACACCAAGCATTTCACAGTAATAGCACTTACAGTTGTCCAGGGCAGATCTAGCAGGACAGAAATTTCACAACCTGACTTGTGGCAGAGGTGGCATTCTAAGACAGTGCCATATTTAAAGTAACTGAGCTCTTCATCATGATCCATTCTGTTGCCATTGTTTGTCTACTGAGATTGCATGGCTATGTGCTTGACCTCATACATACACTTCTAAAAAAAAGATGGTTCTTCAAGGGTTCTTTAGTAAAGATAATGGTTCTATTTATAACCATTATGTTCTATTTAGCACCAAAAAATGTTTTTTTTTAGATACCAAATAATTCATACTGGTTGCTAAATAATTCATACTGATTACTTTTTTTTTGTATTGTATAC